TAATACTTTGGTTATCGACCTCCACAATCACGTTGCGCGCTCCAATATCCCATGCGAGCTTCAAGCCTTGGAATAGACCCCAAAGTTCGGCTCCAATGATTGAACAAAAGCCAATATTCATTAAAAATCCACTCAACCATTTCCCCGTATGGTCTCGAATGGCACCGCCCGCACTAGCCATACCTGTATGGGGTAGAAAACTCCCATCAGTGTTAACCTTCACCTGATCAACATCCGGCGGCGACCAAGCTATCCACCTATGTTCGCGCATCCCAACACCACCTATTGCTTTGCCGCCAAGCATTGCCGCCTTCATTTGGTTAAGAAAGGAGGTTACCTCTCCAACACGTTGCTCAACCGGACATTCTTTGTCTTGAAAAATTTTTAAATTGCGCCATCTCCACATGCGCCAAGCCGTAAGCCCGAATATGGATTCCCAATTCACCACATTGGTCACCACTTTCCCAGCCAAATTTCTCCATAACCAGTCCTGCAAGGGTAAAGAGAAGAACATAGGCCAGCACTCTTGTGGAACCACTTTTTTCCAAGTATCAGCCGCAGCCCTACAATCTCTTAATGCATGAAGGGTGGACTCACTGTTTTCAAAACATATCTGACAACATGAATTATCAACCAGGTGCCTCCGTTGCCTCATGTCGTTGGTTAATAGGCCATTTCGAGCTGCCAACCAAAGGAATTGTCGGACACGTTGCGGGCCCACCCAACGCCAAATTAATTTCCAGCAGCGATTACCTCGCGATGCTGACGGGAGTGCAAGCGCTGAGTAGGCTGATTTCTCGTGAAGTTTTCGTCCGGCGAGTGTCCCCAATAGCACATGTCTTCATCGCCTGTCTGTCGAGGGGGCATCACCGCCGCAATTCTAAGCAAAAATGTAGCTGGAATTAGATGTTGAAACATACTCCAATTCCAGCGCCCGTCGGTAGTCACAAACATCGAAACTGTTGCATGAAGCAAGTGTTCTGGTACAGGTCCTGTGGCGCAGCTGATCAAAGGTTCGGAGATGTTGAGCCATCTATCCCACCAGAATTTTGCCCTGCCTCCGTTCCCAACCGACCATCTAGTACCTTCAATCACATTCTTCCACACGCTACGCAAAGCTTTGACCACAGCCGACCCTTGAGGGAAATTAAAGCTCTCTCCCATGTTCGACGGATTTAATCCATACTTTGCTCGAAGTACTTGCGTCCACAGGGCATGAGGTTTTGATAAAAAAATTCCAGGCCATCTTCATGAGTAACGCTTTATTCATGCGCCGCTGATCCTTCATTCCCAGCCCACCGTCTGCTTTCGATTTACAGACCTCCGACCATGATACTAGGCTAATACGTCGATTAGCTTCTGTGCCGCCCCAAATGAAGTTCCTACACTTTCTCTCAAGGCCATCACATACTCCATATGGTAATAGAGCTGTCTGCATTGAATAATAAGGCAACGAACTCAACACCGACTGCGCTAACACCACTCTACCGGCCATTGAAAGTGCTGACACTTTCCAACCAGCCATCCGTTTTTCTGTCTTTTCTAGAATCTCCATGTAGGTGCTTTTGTTAACCCTTCCATGAATCATCGGCATTCTAAGGTATTTTTCGAGGTTCTCAACTGTCACGAACACCAACTGTCTCGTCAATGACTCCCGATCTTCATCAGAGACATTCTTCGAAAAAAATACTTGAGTCTTTGCCTCGCTGATTTTCAATCATGAAGCATCACAAAATAGTTGAAGTGTAGATTTTAAAATCGCAGCTTGGGTCGAGTTTGCTTCCACAAAGAGGAGCAAGTCATCCGCAAACATTAAATAAGGAATCGACACTGATCCATGACCAACAGTGATAGGTTTCCAGGCCCCATGCATAACCGAAAGATCAATCATGTGAGCTAGTCGTTCTATACAAAGTACAAAAAGGTATGGTGAGATAGGGTCGCCTTGACGAATACCCCTCGAGGGAAAAAATTCCTCACTAAGCCTCCCATTCCATAATAATTGCATGGAAGCCGATGTAACACAATTCATCACGACATTAACAAACTTAGAAGGAAAGCCCACTAACTCCAACGACTGGCGAATGAATTCCCATAGGAGGTAGTCGTAAGCCTTTTCCAAATCAACTTTCACCACCATAAAACCTCTATGTCCCTTCATCGTTCTCATAGAATGAATTAACTCCTGAGCGACTATAATATTGTCATGTATCTGTCTCCCGGGAACAAAGCTCGCCTGAGCAGGATTAATAATCAGTGGCAGTACGGATTTCATTCTCTTCGCTAGGACCTTCGTAGTCAGCTTATAAATTACATTAAGCAAACTAATTGGCCTGAACTGCTTCAACGACATCGGATTATCAACTTTAGGGATAAGCACAACCAAAGTCTTGTTCATAGCTTCCGGCATCTGATCACCTCTCCATAAGTTTCGGATCGTCAAACACACCGAGGGGCCAACCTTACTCCACTTCTGTTGGAAAAATAACGCATGTAATCCGTCGACCCCTGGGCTTTTCAGTGGGGGCATCTTATTTAGAGCCTGAAAAATCTCCAAATCTGTCACATCGCGCCCCACAGCCGAGAGTTCCCTAGAATCAATTTCTGGAAAGGAGTCCGGGATATTAAAAGTTGTCGTCGAGTTCAACGGGGTCATGTAAATATTTTTTAAGAACCCGATTGCCATCTTGTTCAAGGTCCTTTGCTCGGTCAATATTCTGCCCTCATCTTCCCGTAACACATTTATTTTATTCCTCCTGCGGCGACTTTTAACGTGGCGATGATAATAAGATGTGTTTCTGTCACCGAAAAGGGTCCAGTCTCGTTGAGATTTTTGAAGCCATAATAGCTCTTCTTGGAGTAGTACGTCATCAAGTTCTTGTCTCAGTCGCTTGTCCAGATCACGTAAGAAAGGATTAAAAACGAATTCTGATTTCCTTTGGATACCTCCAATTCGACGTAACAGACGGCGTTTCTTTTGAAAGATGTTACCGAAGGTTTCTCGATTCCAGTCTGTGGCTCTCCTCGAGAATTCATGCACCAAGAACTCATAACCGCCCCCGTGATCCCATACATCTCCCACCAGATCGTCAAATCCTTCATGTGTTAGCCAAGCGGCAAGGAAACGAAAAGGTTTCGGTCCAGTTAATTCCTCCCCTCACTTCGCACAATACACTAATAACGGAGTATGATCCGAGTGGGTTCGAGGTAGATGAAGAACCATTGCATCAGGGTATGAATCAAGCCACGCCTCGTTAACAATAACTCTATCCAATTTCTCCACCAAGCCATTTCGAAACCAAGTGACCGCCACTCCATCAGTTCTCAATTCTTGTAAATCATGGTCGAAAATCCAGTCAGCAAAAGCGGGGCTGGTGTTACAACTTCGAAGCGATCCGCCTTGCTTTTCCGACATCCTGAGGAGACAATTAAAATCCCCTCCTATAAGCCACGGGCCAGCAATCCTTCGAGCCAAATTGTTTAAGTCTGCCCACAAAGATCGCCTTACCCTTGGGTTAGGGCTAGCATAAATAAAAGTAACCAGAGAAGAAAAATCGTCCCTCCGGACATTAACATGCACATGTTTCCTGCTACATTCCAGAACATGAAGCTCCACCTCCTCTTTCCATAGAATCTAGATACCACCAGAAAAGCCTGCAGCCTCAACTCTAAAAGAGCGATCAAAACCACTATGTCGAATAAAATTATCCGCCTTCCTTCCACTTACCCGTGGTTCTACCACAACCACAACATCTGGACAATTTTGTTGCTTTAAGTTAATAAAGGCGCGTCTGAATTCATTAGAAGCTGCCCCTCTTACGTTCCAGGATATAATATTCATGGACAAAAGGATTTTGGAAAGAGGAGGTGACAGACGTCGTAAAGAAACATGGACTTGAGTCCCTAAGCCCTCCTCCGGCTCATGACTTCGCATATCCTTACTACCTTCGCTGCTCGTCCCATGTTGAAATAAAACATCATGCTGTAGAGCTCGATTAGATAAAACATCTGCCATTTTGGAGTCATCCCGGATCAAGGACAAAGGCCCCCTCATTCCCCGGAGT